GGGGGAGGGGGGGCACACAAGGATCTGTGTGAAAGCCAGGCAGACCTGTGCTCTGACACTCAGGAGGTGCAAAGCATATCTGCAGAGGGTAGGAAGAGATGGGAAGGAAAAAGGCAGTGGCTTTGCCCCTTTTCTCCATCAGCGTACGGAGAAGACAGAGATGAAGGGGTGAGAAATGGATGAGCTCTTGCAATCTCACTCCTTTTTGCAATGCCATTGTCTGGGTTATGATTTCCCCCTGCCCAAAATGTAACCCAACACTCAATTTCTACAGTAAAATAATTAGCAGCATTGTGAACAGGATGCTGTGGTCAGCTAGGAATTACATCAAGCCAAACGATCAAAGAAAGGATTTGAAATGCCAAGTGTGACCTGCTAGGATTGCAGCCCCACACTGTGCTGTGCAATTTGTTGCTGCCCTTACTGCATTTATATGAGCACAGCCCAGTCCTGCCACTCAAGTCCATGCAAATTTTGTTCTCATGGCAGGATCCAAGTCACTAGAGAGACCCAGGGAAGGGTAGGGAAATGTCACTGCTGGCATAAGAGCACGCGTAGCTCCAGGCGATGGGCTGGTCTCAGCAGGACCGCAGGGTGACTGCCCAGCAGGACGATAGCTTAGGGAGCTGCAGAAGACCTCCCAACCAGATTCATGACAAATACCCTCCTGCTGAGCTGTCAATGTGTTCATCAACAAGACACCTTCTGCCATTGACTACACAGGCTTTAAGAGAGAAATGTGGAAAACACGGTGTAAATATAATCATTAGAAACGCGGCTGTTCAGTGCCAAATGACACACAGATGATGCTGGAGTTGGTGGTTTCAATCTTTAAAAGTGAACCTACAGTATGGTAAGTGGTAATGACTTATGGTGGTGGTTAGCTCCTAACAAAGGTCAAAGAACTTAGAATCATAGAATCATAGAATGTTTTGGGTTGGAAGGGACCCCTAGAGGTCATCTAGTCCAACCCCCCTTCAGTGAGCAGGGACACCTTTAACTGGATCAGGTTTCTCAGAGCCCCGTCCAACCTGGCCTTGAATGCTTCCAGGGATGGGGCCTCCACCACTCTCTGGGCAACTCATTTCAGTGTTTCACCACCCTCATTGTAAAGAATTTCTTCCTTACCTCTAGTCTAAATCTACCCTGTTTTAGTTTAAAACCATTACCCCTTGTCCTGTCAACTTGCTGACTAATAACTTAAGCCTGCACATTCTCTGAGCCAAACTGGTTTTATGAATGTATTTAGTCTCTGGAATATTTTATTCATCTAGACAAAAATTTCTTGTAAGTCAGTTTTCACTGTAATTGATGATGGGCCTTGGGAAAAGAGTTAACCGCTTAAAAAGGATCAGGAAATATTATTTCCTTTCTGAAAGCTCTTCCAAATCCCAAACTTGTAAGAGAGTGTATTTGTGTGTTGACTGGTAGATAAAAATAAATGAACTGTAAATCAAGACGGAGCAACTGTTCAACTATCTTCTCTTACCTACAAAGTTGTAAATTCATTGCTTCCTTTGCTGCAAATGCAGGAATTTAATCAAAAGCAGAGATGAGACCACAGGTAGAGATGGGTATTTGTTCCCAGTGATATGTTTCCCATTACTAGTTTATGCTTGCAGATATAGAGCCATTTAATATTAAATACAGCCTGCTGAAAATGCATTGCTTTGTTCAAGGAGCTGTTGTCAAACTTCACAAGAGCAAGAAGTATTTTTCTGACTGCAAAAAGTAGCAAAGGTAACTGAAACCACACATTTGATTTTGCTTTCTACTTTACTAGACGCTATTAATTTTTTTTCCACTCTGCAGTGACATATGGGACTACGCACAGTCATCATGATTTCAGCTGAGTTGCACCTGTTCTCGTCAGGACAGATTTGAGTAGTAACAAGTTGGACTCAACAGAATAGCATCAGGAGAAGCCACAGGCAAAAAGCGCCATGGCATTTTTGAGGATTACTGAGTACTACTAAAAAAAAATGTAACAAAACCAATTTGAGAACCTGAGCTTGAGTTAACTTGAGCTAGAATTACAGAGATTTTCCACCATGGTAAATTGAAAAACAAATTTCTGTGTTTTCTACCTCTTCCTTTCTTTGTGTCCCTTTCTTTCTGTCACTCACAAACCAAACAGACCTGGACAGGTTGGAAAAGTGGTCAGGGAGGAATCTCATGAAGTCCAGCAAGGGAAAATGCAAAGTCCTGCACCTGAGGAGGAATAACCCCAGGCACTGGGACAAGTTGCGGGCTCGTCAGCTGGAAACCAGCTCTGCAGAAAAGGACCTGGGGGTCCTGGTGGACAACACGTTGACCATGGGCCATTAACACACTCTTGCTACAAAGGAGGCCAAGAGCATCCTGAGCTGCATGAGGAGAAGCCATGCCAGCAGGCAGAGGAAGGTGATCTGTCCCCCTGCTCAGCACCAGTGGGATGCCTGGATTGCTGTACCCAATTCTAGGCTCCGCAGTACAAGAGAGATGTGGAGCTACTGGAGTGAGTCCAGTGCAGAGCGACTAAGATGATTAAGGGAGTGGAGCATCTCTCATATGAGGAGAGGCTGAGAGAGCTGGGACTTTTTAGTGCAGAGAAGGCTCGGGAGGATCTCATCAATGTATATAAATACCTCACGGGAAGGAGGAAGAAGAGGGAGCCAGGGTCTTCTCTGTGGTGCTCAGTGACAGGACAAGAGGAAATGGGCACGAACTGAAACACATAAAACTCCACCTGAACACAAGAAAATATTTTCCTGTGAGGGTTGTCAAACACAGGCACAGGCTGCCCAGAAAGGCTGTGGAGGCTCCATGTGTTGACCTGGGCAACCTGCAGGCAGCTGACCCTGCTTTGGGCAGGAGGGCTGGACCAGGTGATCCTCAGAGGTCCCCCATCTACACTGTGATTCGGTGATTCATGTCAGTGCAAACACTCAGCGGCTTCTAGCTCACTGCCTCCTCTGATGTGTTTTCTCAGCTCTGGAGCTGAGTAAACAACATCTTTACTAGGGGGTGATTTGGTCAATAACGTTGCTGAAGAGCTGCTCTGCTCTTCCTCCTGCCTGCAGCCACACACTTTTCCAGCTTTTCCACTTCCTTTTTGCGGAGCGGGTTCACATTTCACAGTCAGCTTTTGCCCTGGGCCCCTTCTGCTGTTACTCAGCCCTCTGACTGCAACAGTGCCATTAGCTTTGATAATACATGACTCAAAGACTACATGGCTTCAGGTAGTTGCAAAGTACACCTGGAAATCTGTAGAAACAAAAATAGCAATAAAGCACAGATAAGGAAAGAACAGAAGGAGTTGCTGGATCACATAGAAAAAATATTTTGCTTTTTAGTTCAACAAATGCTGTCCATTTAAGTATATTTAATCAAAAGTACCTGGTGAAGGCCACGGCAGGCTCTATACGTACAACTCTTGCACTGCTGGCTACCCTGGCCCTACTGTCACATTAACCCATCATATTCGTCTGTCGTTAACATTACCAAGTTATTCCCATCCTGAAGCAGTGCCATGCTCTTCGCTTAGCAACTCTTCAGCTCTGTGGAGAGTTTGTTCCACTGAATGAATTTTCTGCTTTCAGCCCTTCTCTGTCCGCCAGCTCACCTGAAAGGTTTGTCTCTGTAAGCTTGAAGTCTTGCCTGGTTTTCTTACGAATACCTTTTAACTTGGGAATGATTCTTACTCTTCTTCCACACATCTTGTTCACCCTCCTCTTTCACTGTATAACCCTGTGGTACTCTGGCGAGGCTGAATCCCTGTGGAGCATCGTGCTCTGCTGAACTTGAGCTTTTTTTCCTTCAGAGTATTTTTTTTTTTTTTTGGTTAAATCACTGGGAAAGACATCTGTGTGGGAAGGTTATTTACAAAGTCCATATACCTCACATTCTTCTCTATGGGACCGTTTTTGCTGCATCTGTTACGGTTGTCTAAGGAAACATTGTGAATTACAGCCCAGCTGCTTCCCCAGCTGAATGGCCTTTTCATGGCTGCAGCCCCTCGAACGCTCCCAAAGACAACGGCCCCACTCTGTGGTTACAGCAGAGGATTACATTCCCCAAATTCAGGGTGCAAAAGTAGCCTCAAAAAGTCCTTTTTTTTTTCTCCATGAAATGTAGGCTTGCACTTGATGATATCTTTGGTGTAACATAGAGCAGCCTTCAAGCTGCTTTAC